TACACACACACACACACACACACACACACACACACACACACACACACACACACACACACACACACACACACACACATTCGCATATTACCGAATAAATTTAATTTTAAAGAAACATATAATTTGCATTCAATAAGTTCAATAGGTCAACAATATGCTATACCAGTCGATCGCGATCTACCGATCGATCGCGATCTACCGATCAATCGACGTGTTTTTTTATCACATTTTGATTCTCACTTTATTTAATTTTATTATAAAATTTATGTTTCTAATTTTAATATTTATTTTGTTCATATTCATTTGTTTCTATTTTGACACTTAGTTTGTCTCTACTGATATATTTAATAAACGTTAAAATTACATTCTAATTTTATATTTTTGCTCCGTACCTGAGTAGATCGCGAGATCTCTCTATTAAAAAAAGTAGCTCGCATATACAAAAAGACAGCACTGTGTTATACGATATTAATACAATAATATATAATTATATTGCAAAAGAAAACAAATAAAATTTGATTACATAAATTACTATAAATTGACCTTTTTGAAAAGTTACTTTCTATATCTTTGCTATATCACATACTTTTTAATATCAAAGAAAGACATCAATATTTAGTTTAGATATTATTGATTTAGAATCTTTTTAATAATGCAAACTTGCTATAAGTGTGATAGATAACATGAGTAACAAAGGACTCGCTGTAAATAAATCAAGTAATCGCGTAACAACACAATTTAATAACTCGAACGAATACTTCTTGGCTTGCACAAACACTGCTTTGGAGGGGCCAGATCTTCGGGCATGCGTACAACGCGTTCAAACGGATCATATCAGCCAGCTGCAAACGTCCAGACAGTTTACACTCGTTTGAGAGGAAATGTTGCCAATACAAGAAGAACGCAAGTTCATCTAAGTCGACTCGAGAACAAGATCAATACACAGCATCAAGGTGTTGATACAGTTTTTAAATCAATCATTATCGTATAGTTACAACGTTATAAACTACTAGCATATAACCTTAACCTCGCTGGAGAAAGGAAAGGATACAACCTAGCTCGTATGTAGCTCCACGACGCCATTATTGATTTCAGATTGGAGAAATGTAGAGCGGCATTGTGAATGGAGAGTCGCAGCATAAACCATATTATTAATTTGACAAGAAAAAATTAATATTATTGCTTAAAAAAGTGTTGGGAAGATAAATAAAACAGTTCATTAAACTGGAATTAAATATTTCGATACTTTTGATACCTCAGTGTGTGTGCAATTCAAACATAAAGAAAAAACTAATTGTGAAACAGGACAAACATACATCTAAGTATCGACATACAAGTTATCGACAGTGCTTTGAGTGATAAGAATATAAAATTAAAATTGTGTAAAATATAACATTTATTTTGAAACACAGGATAGTAAATAAACATTTGATGAATACGATCAAAGATCAAAGATAATTCAATTATCGTCAAAAATGGATTATCCGCGTGATTTCATCAAGGAGTTTATTCTACTGTACCGCAAAAACCGCTGCTTATGGAATCAAAAATCGATATTTTACAGAAACATAGATCATCGAGAACGTGCCTATCAAAATCTGGTAAAGAAATTGAAAGAGGTAGATGCGAGGGCGGATCGTAAAATGGTCACCCGCAAGATCAACATCTTAAGAACGTCCTTTAGACGAGAGTACAAAAAGATCTGTTCTTTGCAATCAGAAAAATATATATCTTCTCTGTGGTACTATGATCTTATGAAATTCTTGGCAGAGCAAAACGAACAGCAAATCGATGACCAAGACCAGATACAGTTACACCAAGATATCAACAATAAAGTAAACGCGTCAGCGACAAAATTCAAAACAAATAATGAAATAAACGGAACAGTCACGGAAGCCGAAACAAACAAAGAAATAGTACGTTTATTTATCTTAATACTGATTCTAATGATGTAAATGTAGATTTCACAATTTCAAAATCTCATATTTTTATAAGATAATTATAAATAAGATTCTCGAAAAACTTTTTTCGTACGCTATTAAATTGTCTCAGACTAAGCAAAATGGATCAAATTAAATGAGATTTATTTTATATAAATTTTACAAAAAAATATCGATTAATTAATTTCAGCCAATTGAGTGTACCATCGAGAAAATCGAGCCATTGTCACTTCCTCCTTCGCCGAGCTCTCTGATGATGGACCTACCGACAGAATTGGAAACAAATCTACAGAGAAAGACGAACTGTAGTTTGGACAACGAATCCGTAATGACAGCCACGCCGAAGAATGAAATATTGCAAGGAACCGATTCAGATATGTTTCAGAGCTTCGGAAATTATGTGGCGGCGAAGCTGAGGAATTCCATGTCGCAACAGAGCATCTTCGCTGAAAAGCTCATCGCCGATGTATTGCAAAAGGCCGCACTTGGCACGCTCAATGAGAATACATGCCTGAACGATACATTACAATATGTGATGACCGAATAACTTCGATCTTTATATTATTTTACTATTTTATAGAAAATACAATATATTACATTATTATTTAAAAATTATTATTTCGAAAATTAAATCTCGATACTTTTATTAACAGTTATACAATATATAGTTATATAGTTAGTAACAGTTATATAAACTTTTATATAAATTTATATATTTTATATTTGTATCATGATATTAAATGTCAAGAAAATATTATTTTTTACTCAAAGGCTTTCTTTTCGCATTGGAAAGTAACTCAGCATGATTTTTCGACAACAATTTTATATTGTCATCACAGATTCAAAAGTCATCGCGAACTAAATCGTTAGCGTATCTCGTTCACCGGGGAACTCTGATCCTCGTTCGCTCTTGTGCGGAATTCAACTAGACATCCTGAAAATTCCAGCGATCGCAGATATTCATCGAGACGAAGAGACACACGCGCGGGGAGAATTCCGCGGCGAAGACGTGATGTTGGCCCGATTAATCGAAGCCGCGAAGCGACAGATGGGACAGATATTACCCGCGGGACATTTGGCCAGGGAGAGGCAGGTGCGTTTCTCTAATTTTACGTCGCGTTGAGCACGCGCGCGAAGCCATGAATAATGCAGTCGCGCATTATCGCGACGCGGGAGAAATATCTTCTCGCGCGAAAGCTGCAAAGTGCCACTCGGCGAGAATCGAAGATCGATATGCAAGTATGTCTAAATAATTACATACACGTATCGCGGAACGTAAAGTATAGGATTGGGCCTGTCGTAAAGCGGGTAAAGCAGCTGCTTCGGGTCTAACTTTCATACCTGTCTCTTTCTTCTCATTATTTACTTGTATTTATCGACTTGTTATGTCATAAATAAAAACCAAAGTACAAAGAGTAACACCTTGTTTTACTTTAAGGCTAAGTTTTTTTAATTATAGCACATTCTAATTTGATACTATTGATTATTTTCAAAATTCTAATATGAACGCAAGTTTAATATATAAATACAAAGTCGAAGAGCAGCAGCATTAATTTACTTTGCGAAATAGTCCGTCTTGTGTTCGAATCTTCATAATAAAAATCTTAAAATAAGAAGAATATACTATGAAATTAAGCCGTACAATTAGCTTGCGGATCCATTCAAATTAGCATATTCTGATCCGGGAAGGAATCATTTCAAGTGACAGCTGCTCCTTCATCACACCTTTTAGTCGAATATTAAAATGCTCGAGTGGACATGTAATGAATACCCTTACTCGAGAATATTATATACCCGATAAAATCTGAGTTTCGACGAGGCATAGCCGGCTCTCATTTTTGTTTGTTCCACGTAATACTTCTGCACGGTAGCAGATTAATCTGCGCTATTTAAACGACTCGCATACTAATGTGTTAATTAAGTCTGTTAGATCGATTCTACATTCGAGCTTAACTTTTGCGCAAAAATTTTAAGAATCTAAAATTGGAAAAATAGTAAGAATTAATATGTGAATTTGTATATTAACTTTTTTTATATATAAAAACATTTAAACAATTTTTACCTAGCAAAAACTCGAGAAAAAACATCTGGCAAGCAATATGTAAAAATTTAATAAAAATGCTTAAAAAATTAAGGGAAAATTTATATTCGATATATCGTCAGATAAATAATTTGAGCAAAAGCAGTTTCAATTCGCACGTGTATTCATCGATCTTCGTACTATAAAAAGTGCTTGTTACGTAATCCGAGCACGATGCTCGAATGCGAATTATCACAATAATTCTTCGATATTGGAATAAGTAAATTCGTATCAACTCCTTATTGAGTATGCGGTTTTATGTACGAGATCGTTTATAAGTATACACGTGTGCGAGGATATACCGCGATATCAACTAAACTTTCATATAATTAGTTAATTAACCTCCTAAACACATCGCTTTTAAGCTAACGCTAAATTATGCGCTATTTGCGATCTACAATATTGAGAAAATAAACATATGAATTACTGCCGCGATAATATTCAACGAATGAAATTACGAACAATGTAAAGAATCTATACTGCCAAACAAACTTCCGTGAATTACTACAAATTTTCCTATACGTAAACATCTCAACTTACCTACATATTGTGTTCTCTCGATCATAATATACATAGTCGAACTATTTCACATTGGAAATCACAGATGATAAATGCTATCGAACCTATTTGCGTTGTCTGCGAGAACGAATGGGGCGGAAGAGAATTATTTCAATGCAAGCGCAGTAAACGCATATTCATAGAAATTCGTTCATTCCTACGAAAGTAAATTCTACAGTCGGTAAAGAACGACTGCGATTATATGAATTGAATATCTCTTGTAAATTTGCAAAAAAGATTCAAGCAAGAATGTCATCGAAAATTCGGTTGCAACATCTCTCATCAAAATACGTGCAAGTTTTCTCATTGTATCTTCTTGAAAAATTTCTATATTAGTTTAAGCGAAGAATATAAGATCGGAAATGAGTAGCTTATTTTTTAAATAACTTTGTTTTATTCGCGAAAACTTTCAAATTTTCTTCTCAAATTTAATTTAAAGTTTAACTATGCGCATATTAAAAATATTTTAATAAAAATTTGTAATAAATTATTATACTTTAGATTTTTACAAAAAAATGTTCTATTTATAATTGATTTTATGATAAAACGATAATACCAAGATGAAAAATCTAGTACCAAGAATAAATATATTGAAGGAGGTATACTAGCCTGCACTGCTCCGAAATACCACACATATTTGCATTGCGCAAATAATTCTTTCAGTTGTCAATAATAAAGATTTTTTTTAAATCCAAATTTTACCTCCGATCACCGACAATATCGGTTTTTCCGTAATTTAACAATTCTTAGGCAAATCTAATCGAGAATTCGCGTGGGATATCACGATAGTAATCACCTCCTCTTCAAGTCTACCTACTTCGTTATCATCGTGGGGCGAACAATGTACTATTACTTCTCTCATTGTATTACCATACGATCGTTAATATTAATGAATGTCGCTATTACGCTAACGCTAATTGCATTCTATAGTGACCGCATTTGGTACGGATGGGTAAATAATTGCAAATGAGATGTTAGTATCTCACGACGTAACTGAAATTCGCGTTTTATTTTGCTAATTAACTCAAACATGTGCTGAAATAAATCCTCAATTTTGTGGCTTAATATCGAGAAATAAGTATCGATCTATCTATAAATCCAATATCTACTTAAATTGTCAAACCATGTAATTATTGCTCACTTCGTGACATAGCATTATCTATAACATCGTAAATTATACATTGATATGCTAACAAAAATTGTACTTTATGTACTAATAACGATAAAAGTGGATTTTTAAAGTGCAAGTAACGCATAATTTATCAATTTTAGAACACGTTTTCCAATTTTTATACATTCGTATAAAATTGGATAAATATTTTATAAATATATATTAATAATCTTTGAAAATTCTAACGACGCCTAAGTACCTGTGCTTGCGACAGGCTCGAGATAGACGTATCTCGAGAAGGATACTTTCACTTCTAGGTCGCGACGACGACAGCGTAGGCACCAGCGCGAATTGGTGTATGTATTCTCGAGGACATCGAAGTTTCGCACATCGTAAGATCACCGGCGCCAACGTCGGCTGGTATCTCCGCTGAATAAGGTCAACCACGGTATCATGCTTCGATTAATGCCCCAGCCAGTCCCGAGGAATGCAAGGCTAGATTGTGCGGCCTGACCAAGATCGATCTATCTACACGTGATAGACACAATTATCGTTTATTTGTCACAGGCTACGTCGAATAGATTATTTAATCGACAGACACAGTGCGAGAATTATACTATCAATCTAACGATAAGAATCATGAGAATAAAGATTTTCTCATTTTGAATGGAGAAATTATTAATTTTAAAGAGTTTCCTAAATATCTGTTGTTAGTTCAATAAAAAACGAAAATTTGTAAATTATGATCTCGTTTTTGCATACAAGATAACCATGAAAACTCTATTAAGAAGCGAAATCGATTTATGCGTATCTAAAATGTTACATATAAAATCCATTGTCAGTTATAAAATACGTTCACGTAACGCCGTAAATTACGCGGCATGTACATGTTAATAATGTCACATAAATTGCATCGCTAAACACGTAAGAGAACTTGGTGTACAACGAGATAATTAAAAAAAAAAGAGAATGTACGAGAGAGAAAGAGAGAGAAGGAATGGCGAAACTCGTGTGACAAAGTAAGCGCCATAACTGTCGACCTTGGTTTTCGCCGTGGCGCCTAAAAGCAGATTAAGTTCTGAAAGTGCACTTACATAAGTCCTCAGTTGCATTCGCAAGAACGAATAAGATTCGCGCGTGAGCACACAGCGAGTCATTTGCGAAACCGTACGAAAAGTAACGGGATTTCGCGTACATGTGTTTGTAAAATTGAAGTTCCCAACTGGAAGCTTAATCTTGATCGATCGAGACACGCCGAGCTCTCAGAAGCGCACGCTAAGAGGTTAAATATGAAATATCAAGTCCATAAATAAGATGGGTGGGAGGGATCCACATGCAAGAGAGTCTCTCTTTCTCTCCTTCTCTCCGTTCTCATCTCTTTTTTCGCGAGTATCGTGCAATACTTTTTCGTAACCGTGTATGTATGCCGAGCTAAAAATACATGAGCTGGAAATGATAGGACAGGCTTCGATATGACGGCTTAACCCTTACTTTGCGGCGTGAACTCACTCGGAACGTGTTACACGTATGAATGAGTTTTGGAAGTAGGGATTTTCGAAAAAGAGGGATAAATTGAAGCAACCAGGAAATACATTGCAGAGATAAAAGTGGCGCTTAAAAAGCCGCATCGTAAACAATATGAATGAAATAAAAGGCCCTTGATTTATACAAGGTTCAACTGAAGTATGTTTTCACACTTGAAGTACATTTTTCCAAATTCTAGACTGTAGAACCAAGTTAGATTTAAAAGATTTATCGTAAATATAAAGTTCTATTTAAAACAATTCTTGTATCACACGCAAAATGTGTGATACACATCTCAAGTACATAAAAATAAAATTTTATCAATCTAGTCTCAGTATTTTAAATTATGTATATTTCGAATATACGTATAATCTCTGAGTGCAATTCAATAACGTCCTAATTTTTCTAACTAACAAACACGTTTTTAATTATGTATAAAATAAAAAAAAATTTAATTAATAAAAATTGATTTCTCAGGACGTGCAATTAGCACGACCGTTACATTAACTGGGTACATTTTCATTTTTTCTGTACATTATATAAACGACGTGACGACAACGTACGAGGTGTGGATTTCAACATGCATTCGCGTTGCATTGAGATAGTGAAACATTCCGGTTCAGTGGATCATTGATAGATCACAAGCACGCATGAAGTTACATCATTATTATCCATGTAATTATTAACCATAATAACAGTATTGAAAAAATTGTTTGACAAAAATACACGTAAATATTCGTGTGATATTATTGTAAGCATATGTGCGCCACAAATTTGCATTACCGTCGCTAATTATTATAGCATCACGATTTTCAAGCGAGATATGCCATTGGAAAAATTTTAATTGCACTGGATCAATCGTGTATATAAGACATATTATTACCGCCATAAAGCCAGTTAATTAATTGCAGCTGTCGAGAGCACGAATATTTTCGGAAACCTTTTAATGAACATTCGATGTAATGATGCAACTTATTATTGACGAATCCTTGAATTTATAATAGGTATTCTAGAATTTGTGATTTTAATTTTAATTTCGATTTAATGAAAAACTCGTTGACAAATTTGGAAAGATTTTTTCTTAACTCATCCACACATGCTGTAGTTTATTATATCTATTTAAATGTGTTTTTTAAATTTATTTTTAATATTTCTAATATAACTTATCAACGCAATGTATACAATATGGAATGTAACGCAATGTATAATAAATTATATACAAAATTTTTAACTACTGCGGCTGATGCTTCAATTTTTAAATATCAAGAAAATGGGAAATATATATTACTACTCTTTCTGTCTCGCTCTCTCTCTCTCTCTCTCTTTCTCTCAGTTGACAAATATCGATCACTTAATCGTCTCATAAAACATGCGTTTTCATATTGCTTATCATTGACGGAGTGCACTGAACCGCAATGCATGACTAGTCACTTTAAATAATGACCGTGTAACCGCGCATATGAAAACTGCGCGACGGAACAAGAAATCCAATCTTCTTATCGCGCGATCGCAGAAATCTTGTTTTGCACGGCGACGCGAGTTGATTAAGTTTTGCAGAGAATTGATTACAGATCGCTTACACATAATTTCACATCGCGTATCCTCTTACGAGAATATTTAATATATTTATTTTATCAAATACATCGCACACGCGTGATAATCTTTAAAATGCTTCAACATATTTAAAACATGTTACATTTTTTAACAAAATATTAAAAAATTTAACTTGATTTGTCTAATTTTATATCACAGACTTTATTTTGTCTGCTTTCAACTTTAATGTGACAATTGATAATATTCTCTTAAAAAATATCTCATTCTCTCAATATATCTATCGTATTCTCAATATATTTACTCACCAATTGAGATACATCGCCTGTTCCCTCATTCTTTCCTACTTCAATTTGCTGCTGGCTGCTCTTCCGTCCACATGTTCAAAATACTGACAGATTATAAACTCACACACTGACAAAGAGTAATCCATCTCGATGATACCGCCCGTTATTTCATGATATTTCCGGATACTCTGTATAATCACGCACTTCGCTTACGGGACGAACAAATGACACGAAATACGCGTTTATTCGACCGGTCACGTATAGAAATAGTTTATTATTCGAGCGCGCGATACACACACACACTTCTCACAGGTTAAAAAGTTCAAAATGTAATGACAAAACTAGCGGACGTAATCTGATGATTAAATAAGTGAAAATCATTTGTTTCAATAAATTGGTTAATGTGAACCTTGCTGGTATTTAATCTGATTCGCAATGCTCCTCTCCTGAACAAATAATGCGAAATAGACATGTAGTGAATACATTGTGTCTAAGGATGCCGCACCGAATGTACTTATACGATAGAGTTAGGTTATAGATATCGAAAATGCACTTGATTGTACTATCGCAATCTAGTAAGTACACTCAGACTATCACCCATTATTTGATTCATCACTCCCGATTCTCGTTCGCGCATATAATTCACTTTCGACGTACGAATGATGCAAGGAACACGAAGCCGACGTGATTCGATAGCAAACTGACGCGAACGGCGCGAGAATAACTAAAGTTGTCGTGTATTTCGACCGCGCAATGCCGTGTTCCCTCTCATTGGCTGCATAACCGCTTCCCGCATATTTTTATTTCAAAATTGCCAGCATATCAAAACTCGCTTATTTTGTGTTATTAAAATAATTAGAGAACCGATAGCGTACAAAATATGCGATACGATCGTGATTCTGTTTTCGAACGTTTCGACGTGAAACTGAAAGCAAAGTTAATGTCAACTGTTTGCAAAGTTCAATCGTCTATAAGGTTATGTAAAGAACGTGAGAGTTCAGCTGCGCGGCGTCTTGTTAAAATGATTAAATTGACAAGTCAGTAATGCGAAACGTCGTGATTTGACGACGAGCCGATGTCGGGCGACGCGAGAGATCACCAAGACTACCGAGAAATCGGGTTACGTACCACTGAACGTCTAAGTGTTCCCACCCCGTACATACAACTGCGGTACGCTTCGCTTCGGCTTGCCAACACACTGCGTCGCGAAAAACATTCGGCTATGATCGACGACACGACACTCCTCGAACGTTTGTTTTGTTTAATGTGCTCGATGGTGCTCGAGACTTTCTTTTTATACCACCAATGTTTTCATGATTATATTATCCAACTTCCACGAAATTATGTACTGCGCGTATTAACTCTGCGTTAGTTTAATGGAAATTTTATTCATAGTCTGGAGTTTGTCAGACTAATGCAGCTTAATTTTAGCCACGAAAGCAATATAAATACTGTACTCATTTATTATTAATATAAACATATTACACACTCTATGGTGCTAAATGGAGATTTAAAAAAGCAGATTTTTAAAACAGATAAACATATCACATTAAATAAAAATCTTAGAATACGAGCAAGTCTTGCAGTCCAAATTAATGTAAATTTAACAATTGATTTTATGAAATATGCAAACTAATCACGTTGGTATTATTATCGGCAGTTATTTTTAATCGCAATAAAAGTAATAACGTAAAGTAAGGCAAAATTCGTTACAATCGATTAAAAATTGCGCACTCGGTTCCGAAATAGATATTTTGTTGTGCAACGGATAAACACACTGCTTCCGAGAATCTCACTGACGACTGGCAAGTGCAGAGTTATACTTGTGAGTCACAAGTTGTGATTCTTTCCTTCTTACTTTCTCTTTTTCCTTTTACTTATTTCACCCATTGTTTTCACGATTATTCGCCTTTTCGGTCTTTAGATTGAGAATAATATTTGAACACGATTTTGCAAAAGATTTACTCTGAGAATTTTTTAAAGAACATCTCTATTTTAATAAAAATATTAATTGTAATTATATACCGAACAAAATTTAATTAAGATCATTTTTCTTGGTATATCACTATATCTCTAAATGTCTAAAAATTGTTTAAATTATTATTTTAATATTGCCCATCACATATTAAAATAATTAAAAAGTTACAATATATTGTTAAATATAATATTTTATAGAGAAAGAAAAAAAGAGAAAAAGAAATTAAAATAGCATCACTTATTTTTTAAATAATTCCCTTTACTCTAAATTATAATTATATAATTATAAAATTTGTCGCATTCATATCAGAGAAAGTAATTTTCAAAAAATGTAAATTAATTAATACGTTTCTAAAACTGTCTGTGCTATCAAAAGGAGTCTTTTATTCAGTCATTTATTAAATGAAAAATCTATTTGCTCGATTTCACAGCAAATTAAAATAATTACAGCAAACATACCATTTTATTTGTAACTTTCTTTAAAAAAATTGACTTCAATTGCGTTCAATGCGCCTTACGCGGAATTTCACATTGCTAGCGACGAGTGAAACTAATCAGTGAAACTAATCATTTTCTCTGTGCTTAAGTGCTACTTTAATCTAATTAATTCTGAAAACAGTGGTGCTGCAAGAACATCAGCGGACTGATAAAGTTGACCATTCTCGTTAATATGCTAAGCTCTCCATTTCTTTTTTATCGTTCAGCATCTTGCAAATCTACTTTACTTTTTAATGTGTCTTATTGCCATCATCATAGACTAAATATATAGCCAAAGAAATATTTTTGCTTGTAAAACCAGAAACTCTGATCGGCTCCGGTGGAATGTATCGATAAGCCGTCGATGAATGAATCGCTCGTAAATTAAAGTTGATACGATGATTATTTATTAATGGACCGAACATAATAACTCGGCCGCACGCTGCATCGGTATCTTACGTCTCGTGTCTTTTACGCAACATTGCGAATAGATTAGGGTGTTTGCACAAGCGGTCAGGATTAGCAGAGAGTCTGAGATACTCGAAAGCACTCGGTGATAGTTGAATGAACGTTAAAGTTATTCTCGTCATAATATAAAACATAGTTATCGATCGCGATGTTTTTAAATAAAACACTTCTAATATTAGATTTCTTTTTAAACTTTTGTTTAAAATAAAAATTACTTTCGTCAAATTTGTCAACGAATTTACATTTAAGACACATCTCTAAAATAATCTCCGAATAATAATGCTGCGAAGAATTTGCAACGCTGATTACAATCGCAATTATTTTTATTTTGCTCTACATACACGATAGTTATGAGAACAAGTCTAACACGTAATCACTCGCGAGACAGGACACTGCCAAAAAATATAAATATAATGTAAGGCCGTTTTTTAGTGTTTGTTGCGATCGGCATGAATAACCGGAGTAATTACATGCACGAGAAATTGCATTAACCTCCTTGACCTATCGCGATCTTTTGACCTCTGGCAGATCGGCCAATCTGGATTATGCTTATTACTCCTGAACGTCATATAGTTTGTCGCAAAAATTTCCATTGAACTGTAATGGCCAAACAGAATTGTAAATCATAATACACGATATTAAATATATTTTAAATATTATAAAAAATGTTATAAAAAATTCTTCAAACAGATGGTATTTTATACAACTACTCTGAAAATTCGCAATGTTAATAACATTAAGAATATTGAAAAAGAAAACATTTGATATAACGGTTGTCGCTCAAAAAATGATATTTATGAGTTGATAAGTGTTGCAAGTTTATCTTATAAAACATTGTAGCAACGCGCCAAAGCTTTAAAGAAAGAAAAAGAAATGAGGAGACAAGATTTCCTCAACAAAGATCACACAGTCAATATTTCTTTTTCGTTATACTTCGTAATTATCGTCTTTTGTACAAAGTCCGTTAGTTTAAAGTCGTGCGGAAGTATTTTCTCTCTTCTTTATTTCACGCGCGTTTTGCGGCCGGCGATATATTTTACGCGCGTCGGACATTAATCAGAGCCGCATTTTTGCGCGGTCGGGGCCTGCGATTTTTAAGAGAAGAAAACTCCTTCCTTCTCTCGGCATGTTCTACACGTGTAAAGAAGAAATCCTGAAGAAACTTCGGGCAAACGTATCTTGCGAGAGCGCGACATTAATCAACGCGGTCCAACATTGTCTCATTTTTTACAACGAGTTGTTCTCCGAGCAGAGTTTTTACGTGTCCATCGGCACCAACATGTCCATAAAGGGAAATAAGAGGAAACGATGACGCGTTGTAGTCCCTTGCGAAATTTAACGGGCGATATACGGAGCTATTTTACGAGCTTTGCACGTAGATAGATTAATGGTAGCGCGCTGTGTTCCGTACATTCGAATTTTTCTTGTGCGATGGAAGATGAAGGAAGCACATCGTATTCGCGCAAAAGTTGAATTATGATAAATTATTCACATAATGCCAACATGAGTCAATTATTTTTTATCGCATAAAATACATGATCGATTTAATAACCCGATCATTTTGAACAAGAAAAAATCAAATCTATTGTGTAATACAAGGCACGAAATACCGATGACACCGTTAACGATCAATGATAGAGTTGATCCCAATAGAGAAAGTGGAGCCCTGATAGCGGTTCAGTGACTCGCGAGACGGCGCCGTCTATCGTGCATCGTCCTTTATTTACGGTATTCTCGAATTCCAATAAAACGCCTCTTTGTAACCCGTCCAGCATGCTACTACGGCGACAAAGGGAAAAAGGGACCGCGTATCAGTCTGCGTTTCTCGGTGGAGAACGACAGCGACAACGACGGGCGACGACGAGCTCCTCCTTCGAAGAGATGCGGTCTTACCGCTTTTTTCCTGTTACCAGTGCGAGATGCACTCCCTTTGTCTGCCCGAATGGAAATTAGATCCGATCTCGTTCTTCCTTTTCCCTCCTCTACACGCGGCGCATCCGAGGATTGAAAAAAGCCGAGGCCTTTTATTCCCGACGTAAGCAGATTTCGTCTGCAATTTCCATTTCAGTCGGAATTATGCTCCGCGATCGTCTCGCACGTTCATCAGACGACGCTTCCGGAATTATTTCGAGACACGCGATGCCATCGCTTTTCCGTTTGGATCTCCGGAGAAATTGAATAAAGAGAACTTTAGCGGTACAGAAACTTTTTCATGGATAAGACATAAAATTGCAGATTGTTAGCTTGGATATATGCAGCGATACGGGACAGTATACAGATTGTAATACTCACAATCAGAATACGATTTGTCCACTCGAAAATTT